TGATTTTTCTCTAACGTTGTATCTACGGGTTGTATCGGCCTTTTAATATGTATTGACCTTTCGTTTTATAGTTTAGGCGTTCATCCGGCGTTTTACAGAAATATCACCCTTGCTGAGTGTCGGGTGTAAAAAAATTGGAAGGTTATTTTTAATATTCAAAAGGAGCCATAGTGTCACTGGGTATCAACAGAGGTGTACACAATCAGTTGTTGACTTAGCTGCAGGAAATGCCTCCTCAGGTCACGGGAAAGTTCGCGGAACGAATCGAGAGAAGACTTTTGGGGTACGTTATATTTGTCAATAGCTGGTTATATGCAGCTTGGGGGAAAACAGATAAAACTGGCCGCTGCTCCTAGTCTTATCTCAAGGAGCACTTACCGCAGCCGACCTCGTCCTCTCCCCCAATGCAGTCTATCCATTTGTTGCATTTACAGAAATCGGGAATGCAGCGTCCGTCGTTGCAAATATAAGACCCTTCGCTGCAGTTACCCGCTACAGATAGGAAATGACAAAAATCGTGACTGTTTTCATGAATGCTGCGATTGTCGACTTAGGGCGCATTCTCCTTGACCTCATCAGTAATCCAAAAGACAGTAAAATGGGTGCACGCTGTCTTGGCAAGACTTGAGTAGAGACTAAAGGGCAGCGTTTCAGGGGATTCATGAGTCTTTCTGATTCAATCGGTTCAGAGATTCTTTGATCCTTTTCTGGTGTGCACGAAGAAACCCGGCTTCCAAAAGAGCCGGGTTATTTGGCCCCCTCCTCACAGCCGGGGTGGCATTGGCTTCCCCGCTAAAAACTCGGCCGTGCCGCGCTTGAGTCATGTAAGACTTGGTATGCACACGCTCCTTATCATTGCAAGGGTGAAGTTTGAACTCAGCCCGTGTGCCAGCGCGCTAACATCGAGCACCGCAGAGGAAGAAGTATACATTTTTTTTGGCTCACCCGTCTCGGAAAAATGCGTGCTACGCGAGAACGACATGTTTGATTTTAACAAATGGGAGTCAAAATGACCTCAAAGAGATATTCTATACTAAGTCATAAAGGCTATTCTGGAAAATGCATTGCAGT